TGGTTTAAAATTTTAAGTGGCTATATTATGAACAATCTTAGCATTCATGCTAGTGATAAGGTCCAAGTTTTGATATTTCCAAGAGATATATCTTAGTAATTAGCAGTATAGTGTAACAATAAAATTTGAATACAAAGTGAGTTTTTGTCTTATGAGATTTCAAGAGAATCTTTCTGGCTGCATAATAAACTATATATTAAATGCGAAAATATATACCTAAGGGTGTGGCCTCGTGGTCAATAAAGTGAGTTGACAATCATGAGATCTCAGGTTCAAAATCCATCGGAGGTAAAAACAAGGTGATTTCTCAATATTTGTACTTGTGGGATGGGATGCAGTAAATACCCCTTGAAATTAATCGAGGTACTCGCAAGCTAGCCCGAACACCACAATTATGAAAAAAATGATAAAAAGGGTTGGATCTTTTAGTCGTCCCTACATGATGTAGATAAAACCTTTTTTGAACATATAGGTTTTTGTTTACTCAAAAGTTATCATGTGCTTTATGAGTGCAAAACAATACAAATAAGTTACGGGAAAATCATAGCAAATCGTAATAATCCATCGGACCAAGCGAAGAACATGAAAATAAGTACTCAAGGTTAGGGGGAGAAACATTGGAAGCCTTTATTGATAATATTGGTTTGGTTTGCCTCTCCATGAAGAGGTTCAGAGCCTTACAATGGTGTTTTCACTTCCCATAAGATGGGTGTGTTTTTCTCCTCTCTCTCTCTCTCCATAGTGGTGAAGAAGCAGCTCCCTTTCTAGGACTTCCACTCTTAGTATTTATAGCTGTGAGCTTCATGATCTGGCGATAAGTGGCCGTGACCACGTTGGGATCTCGCCTTTATGGTGGCGGATAGGCCATGGCCTTGTCGATCGAACCAGATGCGGGTTGAACATCGCCAATTCTGAGTGGTCGTGCCATTAATTAATCATGAATTAACTTAAAACGGGATTAGCCTCGTTAATTATCGTGGGGTCGAATTCTAACCCATACAGTTTTCACGGTCCATATTTTATTTATGGATTTAACTTATACACACTGACAGAATAATTTTTTTTATTTATTGTCGTATTTAATTGGTTATAGCAATCTATTCACTGCATTGTCTATGTTACAAATTTACAGCTTATATACATAATTAAATATTGCTATTGGTTATCTTGACCGGATAGTGCATAAAAATTATAAACCGTATGAATATCTATTTTATTTATTTTTACAATTGTTTAATACCTCAAGCTTTTAAACTAAAATAGAACTTAGTACGCTAATTTTAAAATAAAATAAAAGATTAGAGAAAAAGAGGGAAGCTCAGATACGTAACTCCTCATCCGGTTTATTCTGACAACTGCGGTGACCCTTATCACCACATTGAGCGCAAATATTCATCACAGAATATCTATTTTATTTATTTTTACAATTGTTTAATACCTCAAGCTTTTAAACTAAAATAGAACTTAGTACGCTAATTTTAAAATAAAATAAAAGATTAGAGAAAAAGAGGGAAGCTCAGATACGTAACTCCTCATCCGGTTTATTCTGACAACTGCGGTGACCCTTATCACCACATTGAGCGCAAATATTCATCACAGCTAACCCTACAAATGCACCAGCTGGAAATCGAACCCGGGTCTATACCATGGCAGTGTACTATTCTACCACTAGACCACTGGTGCTTGTTGAAAGTGTTTCTCCATTCTATTATATGAAAGTTCCCTTTTGTTTAATTTGAATTATTTTTATGCTTAGTTGTTTTCTCCGTGGGAGATTTGAGGAATGCCATGTTGGATTTATTGTACATAGACATCATTTTTGCTACAAATTATTTTCATAGCCGGAACCCATGAAGTCCATACGATGTCAACTCTTGCCGCATTGCATAAAAGGCTCAACAAGACAAAAAAGAAAACCGAATAAATTGCTACTCTAAGCGTTTCAACAAAGGCTATAAAAAAATACGGAGAAAAAATGAAGATGCAATGTCAAATATTAATGTTTTGCTACAAGTTATTTTTACGCGCGCGACCCATGATCTTCTGCTCACATGACTTCAACTCTTACCATTGTATAAATACTTAACGAGACAAAAAAAAATGGAATAAATTGCTACTCTACTTAAGCATTAAAAAAAGCTATAAAGAAAATACACGCAGAGAAAATAAAGATGCAATGTAAAATATATAAATATGTTGCAAAAGGAGTTCATTCAAGGTTTACACCAAATAAGTCACTACCAGAAAATGTGCCTATGGCAATAGTTATTTTAGCAACAGTTCAACAACCGTTGCCATAGTACCTGTATGGTAACGGTTATAACCGTTATAGTAGCATTTAGGTGATATCAGCACACTTTAACTATAGAACCGTTGCAATTGTAAAACAACTGTTGCCATAGATTCATCTGGCGCAACGGTTATATGAACTGTCCCAATAAAACTATCTACGGGAACGCTTTCGTTGTAAAAATTTCTATTGGAACGTTTATTACCCCCCCCCCCCCCCCCCAATCTTATTTTCCCTCGTAAATTTTATTACACCCGCCAAAACAACCCCTATTCATTTTATTTTTTAATAATACATATTAAATAAAAAACTTTTTGGCACTTAATTTTCCATTAACTGCGATATCTGCTAGGCGATACCCCCAAAACACCTAGGTCATCTTCTTCTTCACTAAACACCGAGAAATTAGTGCCCCCATCTCTCTCTATCTCAAAATCTTTGATCTTCTTCTTCGATGACCTAGGTCATCTTCTCAAAATCTTGCTAGAAACTCCGATACCCCCATAGCTCTCTCTCTCCGATGACCTACGGTTCGTTGTTTTTGTGAGTGTCTGAACAAATTGGTTTTGGGATTTTATTTTAATTGGTGTCGAGAAGTTGTGGTGAAGCTTGGGTTCATTTCTTTAGTGTCGACAATTGAATTTTTGGTGTTGAAGCTCGAAGAACATCTTCAAATTTCTGGAGTTGAGTGCCTGAAGCTGTTGCGTAGCCTATGCACTCCTCGACGCATCAGGTCTGATTTCTCTACGCTTAAACTTGTGTCATTTTCTGGATTTTGAGGGATTTGTGATTGATTAATCGAATAGAAGACTGAATTTCATTACTATTATTTAGGATCGATCGATTTGAATCTGTGAATTCGACTCACGTAGTTTAAGCTTGATTTTTTTTTAGTATTGAACTGAATCCGCAGTTCGGCTTGAGGCTGCCATTGGTTGAAACTATTTGCTGTAAAATTTCTTGGAGATTGTTGAACTAATTTTGTTAGTTCGACTTGATAGTTTCTCTTGTTGTTGGAGTTCTAATTCATTGTTGTTGGTTGAATTCTGGAATTGGTATTAGACTGAAATACTTCTGACTCATTGTTGGGATTGATTAAGTTTGAATTCATAAGTCGACTAGAAGTTGCGTTAGGAGAATTTGCGGATTTCTTCGTTAGCTATGAAAGTAGAAGAAGAAATCTAGAACATATCGAATTTGCAGAATTAGCACTTTATGAGCGAATAATTCCAAATTTGTGTGCAAATTATCAATCATAATCAGGAATTATCTATTTTTTTCTCTGTTTAAAAAATAGCCAGCTCGAAGTACTGTTGCTATCCTTTTAAGATTCCATTGGATTTTCTGAATCTCTATTTCTGTATAAAAATACAAAAAATTAAAAATTAGAGCTTTGTGTGTGTTGATGCTCATCTAAAAAAAACCTTCTGCAAATTACGGACACGTATAGATCAAGGTAATGTTTCCATTATCAGAAATTTTCTTGGAACTCTTCACGTGAATATCTGCACACATTGTTGGGATTGATTGAGTTTGAATTCATAAGTCGACTAGAAGTTGCTAATGAATTATTTTGTGGAGTATCCTCATAGTTGTTGAATTGAATTTTGTTCTTGAGTTTCCCATTCCACTGCACTGTTTGAGTCACAATTTTCTGCCCCTGACAACTGCTAACATTCAGGCACTAGTTATGGATAGTTTGGTTGAGCTCTCTAAATTAGCTATTGTTTGGTTTAAGTGTTCTGCACAACTGAGCCACAAATTCTACTCTGCTTCTCCTCTATTGAGCTGCTGAAAATCTGCATTTATTGGGAAACTTTGTTGCTTCAGTTGCATAGTTTTGAGTTAAGTTTTGGGTCAGAATATGCACTAGTTGAGTGTAATTTACGCACTGTTTTGCAGAATTTCAGTTGTGATCGGTAGTGGTTTAAACTCCTTTGAGTCTAATTAGTTTGTTTTTATATCTAAAGCAAGATTATTTCTTGTTTTCTTTGCTCGAATGCTCTCCAAGTAATCCCTTTCTGATGTCAATTTTTTTTTTGCATGCTACTCCTTGTTGAACTATAGAACCTTCTTTGGTGGTATAGATATTATTAGCTGAGAGAAAGTTTATTTCTGGTAGCCGAGGAGAAAACATTGCTGGTAACTTAGGGAATACTAGTTGCTGGTAAGTTATCTTAATTTAAATTTTTGGTAATTGGATTTGCTGGTAATGCATTTGTGTATTTCGCTTATTTATCTTGTTATGTATGTTACTCAAAATTAGTTTATATTGTTATCTTGGGGTTTAACTAATGATGCCTTGAGTTAAGTTACAACATGTTGCTGAAGTCTAATTTTTTAGAATTGAATGCATGTGTTGAGTACGGCTCTAAATTAAAGTACTACAAATGACGGAATAGGCAAGCATTGTTATTTAATATTGTTCTGTGACTTTTTTGTTGCAAGAATACAAAAAATTCAACCTATTTCTTAGAGTTACCCAACTAGCTAGATATTTATTATATCAGCATGCAGAAAACTCATAAAAATATACAAATGCACTATGTTAAAATTGATTATCCATGTTAAAATTAAAAACAAATATTCCACTTCTCTTCAGTTGCTCCTCCTTCCGAGTTTTCACCTTTAAAAGCATTGATCAATATCTTATTATATGTAGGTTTATTTGGTTAATTTTATTGATTTAATTTTATCGTATAGGATTTCAATGGATAATGGAGATAAAAGTTGGATGTATCTCCTAAGATGGACGGATGAGTATATCCGTGGAGTGAACAATTTTTTTGATAAGGCATTTGAACGAGCTTCCCAGGGAAATAAAATATTATGCCCTTGCAAAAAGTGTATTAGTCGCTATTGGCACTATAGAAATGTGGTGGAGGATCACTTGGTTGTTAATGGTTTTGTTGATGGTTACACCAAATGGGTTTTCCATGGGGAAGGGTTTTCCTCTAGAAATGCACCTCACCAAAGCAATGATGATGAAGGTTCTAACATGCGTGATGATATGATGTATTACTTCATGATACCTTTAGAAATGTAGAATGCGAGGCAGAGCAGGAAGAACAGATGAGAGAGACTCTATCTGAAGATGCTAAGAGATTTTTCAGATTATTAGAGGAAGGCAAACAAGAACTATATCCTGGGTGTGAAACCTTCACTAAATTGAGTTTTACTATTCGGTTGTACGTGTTTAAATCCTTGCATGGATTGAGTAATGTGGCCTTTTCAGATATGCTAGAGTTGTTAAAAGAGGCATTTCCCTTTGCTCAATTGCAAGAATCTTTCAACAAGGCTAGAAACATGATAAAAGATTTGGGTCTTCATTATGAAAAAATACATGCATGCCCTAATGATTGCATGTTATTTTGGAAAGACAATGCAAAGGCCGATAATTGCTTTATTTGTGGGGCTTCTCGATGGAAAGTTGTTGATTCTTCCTTAACTAATACAAGCTCTAAAATTCCAGTAAAGGCTTTAAGGTACTTTCCCTTAAAGCCTAGGCTTCAGAGGATATTCATGTGTCCTGAAACAGCTATTGCAATGAGATGGCATGCTAATGAACGACCCACTGATGGGAATATGAGGCATCCTGCTGAAGGAGAAGCTTGGAAGGATTTTGATTCTCTACACCCAGACTTCTCCAGAGATCCACGTAATATTAGGTTGGGTCTTTCAAGTGATGGTTTCAACCCATTTCGAACCATGAGCATTTCTCATAGCACGTGGCCTGTCATGTTAATGAACTATAATTTATCACCATGGATTTGCATGAAGCCAGAATATATCATGTTGTCAATGATCATTCCAGGTCCTTCATCTCCAGGAAATGATATAGATGTGTATCTACAACCATTAATTGAAGAATTGAAGGAACTATGGGAAACTGGGATAGAAACATATGATGCTGAGACAAAGCAAACATTCCAAATGCGTGCAGCCTTATTGTGGACAGTTAGTGATTTTCCAGCTTTAGCAATGCTTTCAGGCTGGAGCACCAAGGGTAGATTGGCATGCCCCACTTGTAATTACGACACATGCTCACGATATCTCAAACATAGTCATAAGATGTGTTACTTGGGTCATCGAAGATTTTTGCCTCTTGATCATCCATCGAGAAAAGATAAGAAGTCATTTGATGGTAATGAGGAGCATAGACATGCACCTACTCCTTTGTCGGGTGTGGAAGTATTTGAAGAGCTCCGTGAATTCGACAATGTCTTTGGAAAGGGAAAAAAGAAAAGACCTCGAGATAAAAAGGGTCCGTGGAAAAAAGGATCTATTTTTTTTGAATTGCCATATTGGGCGCATAATAAATTGAGGCACAATCTTAATGTGATGCACATCGAGAAAAACATATGTGACAGTTTACTTGGGACTTTATTGGAAATGGAAAAAAAGTCAAAGGATCATGTAAATTCTTGCTATGACTTACAAGAAATGGGGATACGAAAGGAGCTACAACCAAGAGAAGATGATGATGGTAGTGTGAGTTTGGCTAAAGCTTGTTTCTACATGAAACCAGAACAGAAAAATTTGTTTTGCACCGTTATGAAAAATGCCAAGTTACCAAAAGGGTGTGCTTCGAATATTTCAAATCGCGTGCAAGTGAAGGAGATGAAAATATCAGGGTACAAGAGTCATGATGCTCATTTTATAATGCATTACTTGCTCCAGGTTGCTGTTAGAAAGGCGTTGCCCAAGAACGTCTCGTTGGCCTTGATTAGGTTGGGCAATTTCTTTAGAGCCATATGTAGTAAGGTCATAAGGCGAAGAGATCTTGAAAAAATGCAGTCTGAAATTGTTGAAATAACTTGTGAGCTTGAAAAGATTTTTCATCCAACATTTTTTGACATAATGCCACATTTCCCTATTCATTTGGTGAATGAAATTAAGCTTCGGGTCCGGCTCATCTTCGTTGGATGTATTCCATTGAGAGGAACCTATGTAAGTACAAGGCATTTGTTCGTAATCGATCTTGTCCAGAAGCATCAATAGCAGAAGCATATGTAGGATATCTTTAAGCATTTGGTTATATTTCTGCTCAAATTCAAAAGCTGATTGTTCGATGCTTTTTACACTGTTGTGTCCTATGATCTCATATTCTTAACCAACCCATTCTCTACTTACAAAGTTACAATTAGAGAAAATTCTACTATACCCATTCTTATTTAATGACTTTATTTATTCTCGTTTGTAGGTGCAGTAACTGAAGAAAGGGAAGATGGAGAAGGTGGAGCAACTCAAGAAAGGGAAGATGGAGATAGTGAAGATCTAGACCTTACTTAAGAAGAACTTTGAGTTGTTGTCGATATTCTTGGAGTCTTTTGTTATAGCATTTGAAACTTTAACTTTTGAAGTGTTGAACTGTAAAACTTATGTAATTGGGTTAAAACATTCTGTTATTATCGTTATTCTTAGCTTATTGGATATGAAAGATTATGAAGTGTTTTATCTATTCATTTATATAATTTCCAGGTTATAATTACAAATATTTCCAGGTGGTAATGTCAATTAAAGGTTTAAAATAGCCTAATAGAACCGTTGCAATAAGCACAAACGTCGTTGCCATAGACGTTCTGAATCGTTCCGATAGGTCTTGCAAACCGTTCCGTAAAGTGTGACAAACTGATGCAATAGAAATAAAACCGTTACGGTAGCGCAATAAAACCGTTACAATAGCTGTAAATAAACGTTGCAATAGCATACATAACCGTTGCAATAAACTATATTGTAACAGTTTCCAACCATTGTAGTAAATAATATGATAACAGTTTACAACCGTTGCATAAACTGTACGGTAACGGTTTTTAACCGTTGCAGTTGAAATGAATAATCGTTGCTTCGGACAGAGGAAAAACCGTTGCGATAGCTGGATCTATAGCAACGGTGTTGTCAACCGTTGCCAAAACCGTTGCTGTAGATCTATTGGCACGCGAGCGGATGTCACGGTCGCTGAACCGTTCCAATACATCTATGGCAACGGTTGGCCTATCAATTGCAACGGTTTACCTGCTGTTGCCATAGGCCTATTTTCCAGTAGTTAGTTTTTAAATTACATCCACCGGTAACATTATCATTTATTCTTATTTATAAAACTCCACTCTTGTTCTAAACAAAAGATGATCTAAAATACATATAGGATCATGAAACCACATGTTTATTAGCATGGCCATGTTTAAGAGCATGGACATGGAAATGCACAACAAGGATAGCAAGGGCAACGCTCCATTCGTTATCGGCGCAACTCGTCGGAAACTTTCTTTGATGCAAGAGTAATATTGTTGTAGTTTTCAACAGTTTTAGATGTTGATTCATCACCTCTTATAGTCATTAAATTGCCATTAGATGAAGAGTTGCAGAGTAAGAAAAAAAGTCATCACTAAAACCATGAAAAGGGAAGTATAATTGGTGTTGCATTTATCTTTGCCATGTTGATATATCAAGTTTACATGCAAAATGGTTTATATAGGCGTTGTTGAATCATTTTTTCAAGATTCTTGTGAGTATATTTTGAGTTCGGCGTTAAAGAAATAGATTGTACTTAAGTGGTTAATTTTGGAAAGGAAAAGAAATTGGTGGATATTTCAAGAGAATCTTTTATGCCGTAGAGGAAAAATAAAATAATTAGAAGTTCGGATATTACGAGGGAACCTTGGAGCAACGGTAAAGTATTTTTGTTTGACCTATAGTAATCACGGGTTCAACTTATGGAAGCAACCACTAAAGTTTGCATTAGGGTAGGTTGTCTACATCACGTCTCTAAGGGTGCGACCCTTCTCCTGTCACTGTGTGAATCCAGGATACTTTGTACATCGAACTGCCCTTAAATGTGGATATTATAGTCATCAATTTATGTTGAACGTAACTTCTTTTAATAACTCAATCTTTTACACTAAAACATGAAACTTTGTGCATCGGACTGCCCTACGTGTGGAGCAAAAAAATAAACAAAGGGAAGCTTAGATGCGCAACTTGTCTTGCTGCAAATTCAGAAGAGTGTGAAGACCCTAATCACCACATTGAGCACAAATTATTCATCACATCTAACCCCACAATTGCACCAGCCGAGAATCGAACTCGGGTCTGTACCGTGGCAGGTACTATTCTACCACTAGACCACTTGTGCTTATTGCTTACACATCTCTCTTTAGATTTTCAAAATCCACGGCCAAGGACTGCTCCCTCAATCTCACCAGCTATTTAACCATGAAAACCATGAAAAATAGAAGTTATAAGGGCGAGTTCAAGATTTAACTACTGAGGCACCTTTTGGGTTAAAGTTCAAGGGGCTAAAACCATAAGCCTGAAAACCTTGAGATGGCCGAAAGGGATTGGGTCATAGCGGACAGTACCTTGACAGTTGCATGAGTCGTTACAGAACCAAATCACTGGAATAATTATTTAAAACAGTAATTGACTAATTATCTTTAAACCCTCGATAACCTTTTAAACTTACATATACAAGAATTAGTGCCATATATAGAGTCTCACATATATAGGAAAATTAAGAGAAAGCATAACATCCATGAACTAAACTCAAACAAGCATCTCCCAACACTTGTACCCTTTATCTGCCATACATGTGGCTTGTCTTGTTGCCCAGTGTTAATTGTAGCCTTTCATGATTCGGTACGGAATTCTCTTCTTGATTTGTAGCTTTCATATACGTTAATCGTAGAATTTCTGGTAATTTGAGTTGTTAAATTGATTGCACTTGTTGGTTTATTTATGGTTGCACGCTGCAACAGGTGAAATAAGGGTGAATTTATATTGTTACTGTGGGATCTTATTGCGCGCCGCAACAGGTGAAATAAGGGTGGATTAATATGATGAAATAAGGGTGAATTATGATATTGACTATGATAATATGGTGGGATCGGGTTGCGCACCGCAACATATATTTACTTATTATTATTGATATTTACATGGTGGAATAATGGTGGAAAGTGTTGTACGGTGGGATCAGGTTGCGCGCCGGAATAATTTATGTGTTCTATATCCCTTGTTGACTTGTATTGGCTTCGGTGCTTTCGTACGAGACTCTGAGTATTTGGTATTTTTGTATTTATTGGATTTCGAGGATTGAGTTATTTTGATGAGATAACTGCTTTACTTTTCAGTATGATCCTCTCTTGTTATTATTTTTATATACTGCGTACAGGTTATTGTAAGTGACCGTTTTAGCCTCGTCATTACTTCATCGAGGTTACGCTCGATACTTACAGAGTACATGGGGTCGGTTGTACTCATACTACACTCTGCATTTCTTGTGCAGATTTTGGAGCTGGTCCCAGCGGCGTACCACAGACTTGCTCGAATTCAGCTACCCAGGAGAGACTTGAGGTATAGCTGATGTGATGACCCAAAGGTCATCTTGTGTTTTAGAACTTGATTCCGCGTTCCAAAGTCTTCAAAACCTCATTTTATTCCTCCTCGATTTACGTGTGTAGTCCAGGCGTGTATCCGGAAAGATTTTTTGTGAGAAAAATTGATGAAATAATAATTTTTGGCCTAAAAGGTTGATATTTGTTGACTTCGGTCAACGTTTTGGGTAAACGGACCCGGATCCGTATTTTGATGGTCCAGGTGGGTTCGTAGTAAAATATGGGACCTGGGCGTATGTCCAGAATCGAATTCAGAGGTCCCAAGCCCGAGTAATGAATTTTTTTTTAAAATTTTAAGATTGAAAATCTAATGATTTAAAGAAATTTATTAATGTTTGATCTCGTTGGTATAGGGCCTGTATTTTGGTTCCGGAGCCTGGTACATGTTCGATATAATATTTAAGTCATGTCTGTGAAATTTGGTGAGAAACGAGACTGATTTGACGTGATTCGGACCTTTGGTTGAGAAAATAGAAGTTTTGAGACTTTCTTGAAAATTTCATGAAAATTGGTGCTAAATTTGTTGTTTTAGGTGTTATTTTGGCGATTTGATCGCGCGAGCAAGTTCTATGATGTTTCAAGACTTGTGTACATGTTTGGTTTGGAGCCCTGAGGGCTCGGGTGAGTTTCGGATAGGCTACGGAGTGAGTTGGAACTTAGAAAAGTTGCCGGTGTTTTTCAGTAGTGTTGCAGGCCTCAAACCTCGCAAATGCGAGTTCAAGGTTCGCATTTGCGACTACTGTGGAGGTCACATTTGCGAGACTTTCATTGCAAATGCAAAGGAAGGCTGGGCCAGCAGTGTCACGACCCTAGTTCACCAACCGTGAACATGTCATGACGGCACCTGGTCCCCCATGACTAGGTAAGCCTAACATTTGCGGAAATATAATAATTGCGGAAAAATAGAGAAAATCAAATCAGATATCTAAAGGAAACTGTACTGAATGCCGCTTGGCAAGTACAACTCAATATCACAAGTCTAAAACAATTCCCAAAACTCGGAAACTCACGGGCAACACAGGCTACAGAAGTGTATAGTAAAGGTTCCAAACTCCAGAATTTCTAACAACCGAAAGAAGAAAAACTAAGTACTAAAGATAGAGTAAGAGAGACTCGTCGGTCTGCGGACGCAGCAGATCTACCTCGAAGTCTCCGTAGTCCTCCTGCCTCACTGATAGTGCGCCTGAGTAGAGGTACCTGGATGATCTGCACATGAAAAACATGCGCAGGAAGGGCATGAGTACACCACAGCAGTACTCAGTAAGTGCCAAGCCTAACCTCGGTTGGATAGTGACGAGGAAGGTCAGGGCCATACTGAGACAAAATATAGTAATAACAATAATTAACAGTATGATAATCTTACAGAAATAATAAATACAGCAGTGAAATAAGGCAGGTCAACGAGACAATAACAACGACAAAAGGACAGAGCAAACACAGAGTAAATACAACTCAATACCAATGATAACAACGAGGGTCTCCCAGGATACCGTCCTGTAGCCCTTTCTTCAACTGTCCAGTGGATCTCCCGGGATACCGTCCCGTAGTCCAACTCATATACCAAACCGAAGGATCTTCCGGGATACCGTCCCGTAGTCCAACCATAAAAATGCAGGGGGGTCTATCGGGAATCTAACCCGCAGCCCCAAAGTAAAAGTGCAGGGGAATCTACCGGGAATCGAATCCGTAGTCCCAAAGTAAACAAACAGAGGGGGGGTGGGAGCTACCGGAATCCCACATCCGTAGTCCCAATATAAATGCGCAACCACAGCCAGAAACAAACCAAGGGATAAAGTACGAAAGACAGAGCAACAGATAGAATTAGCCTAGCATGCTTCACGTAGTACAGTCAAACAACTTAAGCATTTAGGCAGTCAAGTCAGCTAAACATGCTTTCTAAATCTAGCACAAGTATAATTTCAAGTAGGGTAAGGCAAGTAGGAAAGAAAGATAAATATCAACAACTTAAGTGAAAACCGGATTTTCATCAATCGGCTCAAGTACTCGCTCGTCACCTCACGTACAAGGCACTCAAATATCAAGAAAACAATCCTAAGGGGAAAAGTCCCCCACACAAGGTTAGACAAGCCACTTACCTCGAACCGGCTCAATATCAATAGAAACCACGCCTTTGCCACGAGTATCCGACTCCAAATGGCCCAATCTATTCAATTCAATTACATATCGTAAATAATATTGCAAACAACTGATTCCGCTATTAAAATTAAAGCTAGGGCACAAAAATAGATAAAATGACCAAAATGCCCCTCAAGCCAACGTCTCGGAATCGAATAATTTTTACATTTTCAGAACCCTCGTACTCTCACAAGTCTAACCATATAAAAATCTCCCAAATCGGAGGTCAAATGCCCCCTCAAAACCCAATAGTTTGGTGTATGAAGTTTTACCCCAAATTAACCAACTTTTGATCCTAAATTCGAATTCCAATGATGTATTTACCTATATAATGATGAATTATAATGAAAAGGGATCAAGGAAACGTTACCCAATGATTTTCTCTTCAAAACCCACTCAAAATCGCCTTCTCCCGAGCTCTCAATCGATTTTCAAACTTACGAAATTAAACCCTCGAAATTGATATTTCTGAACAGACATTTCCACTTCTGCGGACAAGGGACCGATTCTGCGGTCCCGCTTAA